ACCTAGGGATTGGCGGAGAGCATGTATAGTCCCTTTATATAAAGGGAAAGGGGACAAAAGAGATTGTAAAAATTATAGAGGAATAAGTTTATTGAGTATACCAGGAAAAGTGTATGGTAGGGTTATAATTGAAAGAATTAGAGGTAAGACAGAATGTAGGATTGCGGATGAGCAAGAAGGTTTCAGAGTGGGTAGGGGATGTGTAGATCAAGTGTTTACATTGAAGCATATATGTGAACAGTATTTAGATAAAGGTAGGGAAGTTTTTATTGCACTTATGGATTTAGAAAAGGCATATGATAGAGTGGATAGGGGAGCAATGTGGCAGATGTTGAACGTATATGGAATAGGTGGTAAGTTATTAAATGCTGTAAAGAGTTTTTATGAGGATAGTGAGGCTCAGGTTAGGGTGTGTAGAAGAGAGGGAGACTACTTCCCGGTATAAGTAGGTCTTAGACAGGGATGTGTAATGTCACCATGGTTGTTTAATATATTTATAGATGGGGTTGTAAAGGAAGTAAATGCTAGGGTGTTCGGGAGAGGGGTGGGATTAAATTATGGGGAATCAAATTCAAAATGGGAATTAACACAGTTACTTTTTGCTGATGATACTGTGCTTATGGGAGATTCTAAAGAAAAATTGCAAAGGTTAGTGGATGAGTTTGGGAATGTGTGTAAAGGTAGAAAGTTGATAGAAAGTTGAAAGTGAACATAGAAAAGAGTAAGGTGATGAGGGTATCAAATGATTTAGATAAAGAAAAATTGGATATCAAATTGGGGAGGAGGAGTATGGAAGAAGTGAATGTTTTCAGATATTTGGGAGTTGACGTGTCGGCGGATGGATTTATGAAGGATGAGGTTAATCATAGAATTGATGAGGGAAAAAAGGTGAGTGGTGCATTGAGGTATATGTGGAGTCAAAAAACGTTATCTATGGAGGCAAAGGAGGGAATGTATGAAAGTATAGTAGTACCAACACTCTTATATGGGTGTGAAGCTTGGGTGGTAAATGCAGCAGCGAGGAGACGGTTGGAGGCAGTGGAGATGTCCTGTCTAAGGGCAATGTGTGGTGTAAATATTGTGCAGAAAATTCAGAGTGTGGAAATTAGGAAAAGGTGTGGAGTTAATAAAAGTATTAGTCAGAGGGCAGAAGAGGGGTTGTTGAGGTGGTTTGGTCATTTAGAGAGAATGGATCAAAGTAGAATGACATGGAAAGCATATAAATCTATAGGGGAAGGAAGGCAAGGTAGGGGTCGTCCTCGAAAGGGTTGGAGAGAGGGGGTAAAGGAAGTTTTGTGGGCAAGGGGCTTGGACTTCCAGCAAGGGTGCGTGAGCATGTTAGATAGGAGTGAATGGAGACGAATGGTACTTGGGACCTGACGATCTGTTGGAGTGTGAGCAGGGTAATATTTAGTGAAGGGATTCAGGGAAACCGGTTATTTTCATATAGTCGGACTTGAGTCCTGGAAATGGGAAGTACAATGCCTGCACTTTAAAGGAGGGGTTTGGGATATTGGCAGTTTGGAGGGATATGTTGTGTATCTTTATACGTATATGCTTCTAAACTGTTGTATTCTGAGCACCTCTGCAAAAACAGTGATTATGTGTGAGTGTGGTGAAAAGTGTTGAATGATGATGAAAGCATTTTCTTTTCGGGGATTTTCTTTCTTTTTTGGGTCACCCTGCCTCGGTGGGAGACGGCCAACGTGTGAGTGTGGTGAAAGTGTTGAATGATGATGAAAGCATTTTCTTTTCGGGGATTTTCTTTCTTTTTTGGGTCACCCTGCCTCGGTGGGAGACGGCCAACTTATTGAAAAAAAAAAAAAAAAAAAAATATTTGTGCACCACATATTCATGATTTTTCAACATTCGCAAGGTTCTTAACCCTTTGAGGGTCGACAGGCCCTCTCCGAAACTCGTTCTCAGGGTCGGCCAAATTTAAAAAAAAAAAAAAAATATTTTCTCTTATGAAAAGAAAGAGAATCTTTTCCCGATCATAAAGACACCAAAAGTTTGAAATTTGATAGAAAACTTACGGAATTATACTCTCGCAAAGTTAGCGGTCTCTGCGATGTTTACGCATCAGCGATTTTGCCCACTTTGAGCCCCAATTTCGGCCAATTTCACTGTACTAGTCGACAAAAAACATGAATATTTCGCTAGAACTCCATTTTTTCTATCGAATGGGTGCAAGAAACCACCCATTTATGAAATTCAACTATCCAGTACAGTGGTCAGAATTTAGCAATTTTGCCAATTTCACACAAATTTCAAAAGATGCCAATTTCCGAATAGGGTCCAGAATAAACAAGAAAGACATTCCTGGCACTAAAATGACATTTCCTCTAGTCATTAGTCACGTCTCAAGGCCCCTCTTATATTCTTTTGCTTTCCACTTTGAATTTTTATTCTCACAAAAAATATAAGATTTACTGTTATGCAGACTACTGCATTAGTGTAAAAAATGGTATAAATATTATTGGTGCACTTGTGAAAGAATATTAGACTCACCAATTGACGTGTATTGCACTCTTGGCACGATTTGTTTACTTTTGAAGTTTGGTAAAAATCGAACATTTCTGCTACTTTGAGCTCAATTTCAAGGCACCTTTCATTGTAAAACCAGTCAAAATCATCTCAATTTCTGTAATATGTCTTCCATTCTATTAAATGAGACCAAGAAAACTAGAATACAATAATAAATACCATACGAAAATACACTGCAAAGTCGCTGATTTATTAAAAAAAAATGGTCAAAGTTTTTTTTTTCTCATTATGCACTGTGTGCTGCAGGATCTTTTTTAGACTGTGCACACTGACCACATAGACCCATTCTTTCATATGAAGGCCTACCAGCTTTCTCCCACTAGATTTGAGGCCGCTAGAATTTATGAGTACTAGTACGTCAAAAACCCCTACGTGTAAGACGTACTAGTACGACCAAAACCCTCAAAGGGTTAATCCCCTAACCCTTGTGAATGTGGAGGGAGACCTGTAGTTTTGCAAATATATATATTATAATCTTTCATGGTATGTGTTTGTGTTTCGGTACATGTGTGAGAGAGGGGCGGCATAATGCTGCGACAAGCACTGTATGTTCACTTCCAACTTTCTACCTTTACAAACCCTCCCAAACTCATCCACTAACCTTTGTAACCTTTCTTTAGAATCCCCCAAAAGCACAGAATCATCAGCAAAAACTATCTTTGTCAACTCCCATTTTGTATTTGATTCCCCAAACTTTAATCCCACCCCTCTCCCCAACATCCCAGCATTTACTTCTTTTATAATCCCCCTTCTATAAATATGTTAAACAACCATGGTGACATTACACATCCCTGTCTTTTATTGGGAAGTAATCTCCCTCTCTCCTACACACCCTAACCTGAGCCTCACTATCCTCATTAAAAACTCTTTAAAGCATTTAGTAACTTACTACCTATTTCATACACATGCAACATCTGCTACATTACTCCCCTATCCACTCTATCATATTCTTCTTCTTTCAGCAAACTGGCCATATCCCACCGAGGCAGAGTGACCCAATAAGAAAAACCAAAGTTTCTCTTTTTAAATTAATAATTTGTACAGGAGAAGGGGTTACTAGCCCCTTGCTCCCGGCATTTTAGTTGCCTCATACAACACGAATGGCTTACGGAAGAAGAATTCTGTTCCACTTCCCCATGGAAAGAAGAGGAAATAAACAAGAACAAGACCTAGTAAGGAAATAGAAGAAAACCCAGATGGGTGTGTATATATATATATGCATGTACATACATGTGTAGTGTGACCTAAGTGTAAGTAGTAGTAGCAATATGTATCTGAAACCTTGCATGTTTCTTTTTCTTTCAATGTACCAGCCGTATCCCACCGAGGTGGGGTGGCCCAAAAGAAAAAACGAAAGTTTTACCTTTTAAATTTAGTAATATATACAGGAGACGGGGTTACTAGCCCCTTGCTCCCAGCATTTTAGTCGCCTCTTACGACACGCATGGCTTACGGAGAAAGAATTCTGTTCCACTTCCCCATGGAAATAAGAGGAAATAGACAAGAACAAGAACTAGAAAGAAAATAGAAGAAAACCCAGAGGGGTGTGTATATATATATGCATGTACATACATGTGTAGTGTGACCTAAGTGTAAGTAGTAGTAGCAATATGTATCTGAAACCTTGCATGTTTCTTTTTCTTTCAATGTACCAGCCGTATCCCACCGAGGTGGGGTGGCCCAAAAGAAAAAACAAAAGTTTTACCTTTTAAATTTAGTAATATATACAGGAGACGGGGTTACTAGCCCCTTGCTCCCAGCATTTTAGTCGCCTCTTACGACACGCATGGCTTACGGAGAAAGAATTCTGTTCCACTTCCCCATGGAAATAAGAGGAAATAGACAAGAACAAGAACTAGAAAGAAAATAGAAGAAAACCCAGAGGGGTGTGTATATATATAAGCTTGTATATATATGTGTAGTGTGACCTAAGTGTAAGCAGAAGTAGCCAGACGTACCTGAAATCTTGCATGCTTATGAGACAGAAAAAAGGACACCAGCAATCCTACCATCAAGTGAAACAATTACAGGTTTCCATTTTACACTCACCTGGCAGGACAGCAGTACCTCCTTGGGCAGTTGCTGTCTACCTACCTACCTACTACCTAGAAAACTAAAAAAGTTTCTACAATATAGTACAACACAAAATTCTAAATGCAGTAATTAGAAAATATAGTAAAATCTCTACATAATGGACTAATTGGGGAAGTGGGTGGCCAGTAATGGCAACTGTGGTGGAAAGAGAAAAGATTATTTTGCCATGATTGTAACAATAATAAACAATTATGTGACCAAAGAACTTTGCCCATTGTTTCCAAATTTATTGACCAAGAGTATTTTGTTCCAGATTTCCAAAGTCTGCTAAATGGAGGATTTACTATAAATAAATTTAAAAGTAACCTTCTTAAAAGTTGTTAATATACAAAGAAGTTAGGACTAATACAATGACTTACCTCTCCTTACAGTATTCCAAGCATCGAATTCTATATTCCTGTAGATGTCGGGATCTAGAGATTTTGCCACTTTATAAGGAAAAGGTGGTATGCCTCGAGCAAGTAAACCGCGGACATCATCAGGATGGACTTCCTCTAAGCTCTGCCTCTCATCTATACTTGTGCTAAAATTTGCATACAAAACAAAGAGTTAAGATTTCTTAAAAAATATATAGTGACATACTAAAACACCTAATCATTATACTTCATAGGGCTCTAATGAATGTAATCCCATTCTAGTAGTATCTTAGAAATTATCTTTCATTTGCCTTCATACAAAATTATTTAAAAAAAAAATTGCTTTTCATTTTGAACTGGTACACTGGAACTAAGGAAACTTCACTGTTATGTAATTACCATTTGTAGCTACAGGAGCAGAGCTATGTTTATGGTGTCCCATCTTCATTAATACAATATGTTAAGCATGTGAATTATTTAAAACTTCTGATGGTTGTAGCACTTACTACCTCTTCTGTCAACTTATTCCATTCTTCTACCATTATTGGTAAAGAAAAATTTCCAGTATTTGTTGCTGTTGTCTCCTCTGTTAAAGTTACTGACTTTGTGTATTCTTTCAGTTCCCTTCATTAATATATATGTTGTCACATCTCTTTTCCTCCAGTGTGCATCTTTAGTGTTCTCAGCTTTTCCTCATAACCCTTACTCTTTAGCTTTAGGATTCATTATGTAGTATTTTTCAGACTCTGCATATGATCCACATTTTTTCAATGTGCAGACACCACACAGCAGCTCTATGCATTCCAATTTCCACCTAAAATACATTGTAAACTGCTTTTCAGCAACTCTTCATCAAGATACGTTATGAGGTAGTTCTGACAGCTGATGAGCAGTTTCTTGTGCTCAGTCGATAGAACAAAAGGCATACTACGAATTTGGTCAAATGGAGCAATGGAATTGACTTAAAATATGGCTCAAAATGGGCAAAAATCACTGATGCATAAATTGCACCCAAACCTATAGCTCTGTGCCTGCATAATTCCACAAGCTTTCCATCAAATTTTGTATCTTTGGTCTCCTTACCTTCAGAAAGATTCTCTACCACATTTTTTTTTTTGGGGGGGGGGGGAGGGGAGGGGGGGGAGGGGGGGGGAAGGTGGGGGGGAGGAGAGGGAGAGGAGGGGGAGAGAGAGGGGGAAGAAGAGAGGGAGAGGGGAGAGAGGGGGAGGGAGAGAGAGGGAGAGAGGGAGAGAGAGGGAGAGAGAGGGAGAGAGAGGGGAGAGAGGGGAGAGAGGGGGGAGAGAGAGGGAGAGAGAGGGAGAGAGAGGGAGAGAGGAGGGGGGAGAGGGGGGGAGGGGGAGAGAGGGAGAGAGGAGGGAGAGAGAGGGAGAGAGAGGGGGGAGAGAGGGAGAGAGAGGGAGAGAGAGGAGGAGAGAGAGAGGGAGAGAGAGAGGGAGAGAGGGGGAGAGAGAGGGAGAGGAGGGGAGAGAGGGGAGAGAGAGGGGAGAGAGGGAGAGAGAGGGAGAGAGAGGGAGAGAGGGAGGGGGAGAGAGAGGGAGAGAGAGGGGGGAGAGAGGGAGGAGAGGGGAGAGAGAGAGGGAGAGGAGAGGGGGGGAGAGGGAGAGAGGGAGAGAGGGAGAGAGAAGAGAGAGGGAGAGGAGGAGGGAGAGAGGGAGAGGAGGAGAGGGGAGGAGGGGGGAGAGGGAGGAGGGGGGGAGGGAGGGAGAGGGGGGGGAGAGGAGGAGAGGGAGAGGGAGAGGGGGGGAGAGAGAGGGAGAGGGAGGAGAGGAGGGAGGAGAGGAGAGGGAAAAGGGAGAGGGAGAGGGTGAGGAGAGGGGAGGAGAGAGGGGGGGGAGAGAGAGGGGAGAGAGAGAGGGAGAGAGGAGAGAGGGGGAGAGAGAGGGGGAGAGAGAGGGGGAGAGAGAGGGGGAGAGGAGGGGGAGAGAGAGGGGGAAAAGAGAGAGGGGGGAGAGAGGGGGAGAGAGAGGGGGAGAGAGAGGGGGAGAGAGGGGGAGAGAGGGGAGAGAGAGGGGGAGAGCGAGGGGGAGAGAGGGGGGGAGAGAGAGAGGGGGAAGAGAGAGGGGGAGAGGGGAGAGGGGGAGAGAGAGGGGGGAGGGGGGGAGGAGGGGGAGAGAGAGGGGGGAGAGAGGGGGAGAGAGAGGGGGAGAGAGGGGGGGAGAGAGAGGGGGAGAGAGAGGGGGAGAGAGAGGGGGAGAGAGGGGGGAGAAAAGAGGGGGAGAGAGAGGGGGAGAGAGAGGGGGAGAGAGAGGGGGAGGGGGAGAGGGGGAGAGAGAGGGGGGAGAGGGGGGGGGGGGAGAGGAGGGGGAGGAGAGGGGGAGAGAGGGGGAGAGAGAGGGGAGGAGGGAGAGAGAGGGGGGAGAGAGGGGGAGAGGGGGGAGAGAGAGGGAGAGGAGGGGAGAGAAGGGAGAGAGAGGGAGAGAGGGGGGAGAGTCACTGGATGAATCCAAAGTCAGCTGTGTGGTTAGCACTGGACATTGCTGGCGCTTTCGCCCGGGTGTGGCCCCAGGGCCTCTTGGGAAAAACTTAAAGCACTGGGAATTGCAGGCTCTATGCTATGTCTCCTCAGTGATTACCTTCATGGTAGATCTTAAGTGTAGTCCTAAAATGGAACGGAATCAGCAAGGATCCTATTGGGGCAGCGTTCCCCAAAAGGAAGCGTGCGGGCCATTGTTATGGAATGTCTACTTCAACGACCTTCTTCATCTCATCCCAGAATCACATGCATATGCAGACGGACTGTACACTGACATTCACTTATCCAAGAGAAGAAATTCCAGCTGCTCTAAGCTACATCAATCACCAGTGAGAGCTATATCAGCTTGGGGAAATAGATGGCAAGTAACATTTGCACCTGAGAAAACGCAAATGATGATCGTCTCTAGGCACCATGATGGTAATGCTGGTGCAGTAGTAAGGATGAATGGGAGGATGTTGGCCCTGGAGAAGAAGTTGATATCCTTGGGGTTGAAATTTGACTCCAAACTAACATGAAGAACCATGTTGTAAATCTTGCAAACAAGGCAGCCAGGAAGCTTACGCACTTCGCCGTATCTCGCATCTGCTTGACAGTAGGGGTTGCAAGTCCTGTTCGAGGCACAAGTACGCTCACACCTTGAGTTTTGCTCCACTTTCTTGGGTTTGCCTGCCCCCCTCTCATCTGCGACTGCTTGACAGAGTAGAGAACCCGAGCAAGACGTCTCATCTTCCCCCCTGGACCCATCCTGGATAGATCTGTCACTTCAGCAGAGCCTTCAAAAATAGGAGGGATGGGGGGTGGCCTTACTGTTATGTACAAGGCCAATATTTTCAAAATACCACACTCGGATCCACTTCGAGGACAGCGTGAACAAGTTTTATGCCACAAGACGGGCAGAAAAACAGCAACTTCACTCTGGCTGTACCCTTCTCCAGAACATCACTCCATCTGGATCATACATACCAGGATGACTCAAGTAGGAACACATTTGTACAGCATAATGATGTCAACGAGATAAAGTCAGTTGATCAAATGAAAATGTGGCCCAAGATGGCTCCAACTTCATCCTGTTCCCTACTTGTATGTCTCATAACAATAAAAATGCTTCCAAAGAGCTGATGTAGGTAACAGCTCTTAGCTTGCCAATAAGGTTAGGAATCCTTAACCTGTAAATAGCTTGTCAATAAACTTAGGGATCCTTCCTTGTCAAACCCTGTGTAAAAAAAAAAAAAAAAAAAAGAGGGGGAGAGAGGGGGGGAGAGGGGGAAGAGAGGGGGAAAAGAGGGGGAGGGAGGGGGAGAGGGGGAGAGAGGGGGGGAGGGGGGAGGGGGGGAGGGGGGGAGAGGGGGGAGAGGGGGGGAGAGGGGGGGAGGGGGGAGGAGAGGGGGGAGAGGGGGGAGGGGGGGAGGGGGGATAGGGGAGAGGGGGGATAGGGGAGAGGGGGGGAGAGAGGGGGGAGAGAGGGGGGAGAGGGGGGAGAGGGGGAGAGACAGAGACAGGACACAGAGAGAGACACAAGAGACAGACAGAAAAGAGACAGAGAGAGAGAGACAGAGAGAGAGAGAGAGAGAGGAAGAGAGAGAGAGAGAGACAGAGAGAGATTAATTTCGGAGATCGGGACAGTGAAAATTCAGATTAGAGTTTCCTGAAATTTTCCATGAACTGCCATGCAATTTTTTAAATAAAATTCACAACATAAGAGGCAAAACTGTTTAATCAGTAATACTTGATCAGTTAAAAATTCATACAAATATTAGGCATTGTCCAAGACACTTTAACAAGATGCTTCTTGAGGGACTGGAGATAAAATGTCTGGGAAGATTCCACTTATAACAACAATATCCATCATTACAAAATTGATTAGGAAGATAAACAAGATATTCATCATGAAGAATGAAAAAGACTAAGAAACTTAAGAAGTAGCACTTTACGAAGATTACAATAACATTAAAAATAACTCACTTTTTATCAGCTTCATCTTGACTATTATCCCTAGAAATATTTGTCCCCATGATTTTCTCAACTAATGCTCCAATTTCCTTAAGTTCAGTGGAGTTAGCGGAGTCTCTTCTTAGTGAAGCATACTCCTTATCGTGAAGCATTGTGTCAACAGCAAGTCGAACATCCTTCAGTTGAAATACACGTGAATAAAGTATGTCATACACCACAGCTGTAGAAAATAATAAAATCAGTTTCATAAAAACTAATCATACAACTTTTACTTCACAGACAATTAAGGAGCATGCTCAGCAAGCTGTATTTCTTGGATAATAAACAAAAATTTACAAAACAGAATCACAGCATAATTTCTTTTGAAAAACAATGAATTACATTTAATTATATTCATGGGGAAACACCAAGCCAAAATGAATCATACAGTGCCTTGGAAACGGGAGGTAATCAGGTTTGATCTGAGGAAGGAGTGTAGTTCCTAATGATCAAGAGCCCTTCACCATACATCAAGACACTGCCCTTGAGGGATACAGCTTCACCAAGAAGTTTTTTGGCAGTAAAAACAGTATTTAATAATAAGAAGTTTTACATTTTTCAATATGCTAAAATTTTAAAAGATTTTGCATTTAATGTGCTCCAAATACAGTGGACCCCCGGTATTCGATATTAATCCATTCCTGAGAGCTCATCGAATACCGATAATATCGAAAACAGAATCAATTTTCCTCATAAGAAATAATGAAAATCAAATTAATCCGTGCAAGACACCCAAAAGTATGAAAAAAAAAATTTTACTACATGTAATATTAAGTTTAATGCAATAGAATAATTACAATAACAATAAAATAATTGACACTTATCTTTAATGAAGATCTGGTGATGATTGATGGGATGGAAGGAGGGGAGAGGTGTTAGTGTTTAGAAGGGGAATCCCCTTCCATTAGGACTTGAGGTAGCAAGTCCTTTTCCAGGGTTACTTCCCTTCTTCTTTTAATGCCACTAGGACCCAGCTTGAGAGTCACTGGACCTCTGTCGCAAAAACAAATCTGTCCATAGAGTCTGTACCTCCCGTTCCTTTACGATTTGTCTAAAATGAGCCACAACATTGTCATTGTGGGTAGCTGTGTTAGGGTGATTTTCACCCATAAAGGGTTTTTGCACTTAAACCCCACTGTGCACAACATTTCCTTAATTTTTAAAGTAGGCACAATGTATTCCACAACTGGCATAGGCTTCTCAGGGTTAGCCCCAAACCCTTCAAAATCTTTCTTAATTTCCATACTAATTCTCACCCTTTTTACCACAGGGTTGGCACTAGAAGCTTTCTTGGGGCCATGGTGATTTTATTTTGCAGAAACAAGCACCAAACACAGTGATAATATGGATAATATGGAATGTACCGAATGTATCCTTAGATGCGCGCGCACACTGGCTGGCTTGTAAACACTGGCACACAAGGGGCAGTTCAGGCCACATGTGGACAGGTCTCGTACGAATCGTATCGAATACCGGGTTTTCAATCAAATACAGAGGAAAATTTTTTGCGATATAATGCATCGAATACCGGATTTATCGAATACCGATGCCATCGAATACAGGGGGTCCACTGTACAGGTAACCCTCGATATAATGAACTAGTGGGGAATTGACTAAGGTCCATTAAATGAAAATAATATTAAACAGCAGAAAAATCCCTAAGGTGCTCTACTGTGCATGTAGTATAGTATAGTACACATTATTAAAAGAAGTTAAAATTACAATTTACCCAGAAGTATTATAATGAGGTCCATTACAGTGAGGGATAACCACATTATAAAAAATATTTATTTCTGCAATGCAAATATCAAAAATACTTTAATTTTACTTGCCTCCAACCCCTCAAAAACTTATTACATGCAAGAACTCACACTGACAAAATCCCCGTATGGTAGCTGCGTCTTTTTGGTAGACAATGTCATAATGGTTCCCATGGGTGTAACTTAACATGAGAGTCTTTGGGTAGCTATTTTCTGTGGCCTTGAATGGCATTTGCCCGATTTCTTGATAAATAAGAAAATCCACCCTGCAAAAACAATTAAAATTAATAAATCTTAAAGGTACAAATTTAAAAAATCTAACATACTGTACATTTATTTTGTTACTAGACTACCATGACTCCAAAATATTCTTTTATGCACATTTTTAAGGGAAGATGTTTCAAGTCTATCAACTGCACAAGGGTCATATAATCTTTTCACCAGCAAACAAGAAAGCTGTAATTCCTAAAATAGGGATTAAACTCCAGCATATTGAGATTACAACCCAGCTGTGATGAATGTTTTTGTTTTTATTTTTTTAGTGGTAATAAGAAATAAATTTTTTGAAACTGTATTCCTTACTGCACTGCATACAACCATATGAGGTAATTGCAAATATGAAATGACTAATAATCCTGTCTAGTGAAAACAGTAATAACATCTTTACTTCTACAAGTACATGAACAAGGTATACAGGCCTAGCTGACATCAATGATATGTTGCTATACAGAAAGCCACTTGCTATGCAAAGCATTTTGGGCAAATTAGGTCAGTTTTGTCCCAGGATGCAATGCACACCAGTTGACTAACACCCAGGTACCCATTTTACTGATGAGGAACATGGACAACTGGTGTAAAGTAACACATCCAATGTTTCTACCTTAGCCAGGAATCGAACCTGGACCCTCGCCATGTGAAGCAAGAGCTTTAGCCACCAGGCCATAGGGTACCATGCTCAGTGAGGTCTGGCAAAGACCCAGTTTGACCTCTGTAATCCTCTTTTTTGTGCTACCACTCACAGGATGAGCTGCAGTTGCACAATAAACTTGTCATTCAGGCACACATGCACAAACACATATGTTTCAGACTATGAAACAATGTTCTTCTCTAGACTGAGGGACTGACCACCTCAAAACTTTAAGGGTGATGGACTGATTACATCGTCTTCAAGTCTCTTCTGCTTCTATCAGCTTTTCTGTACTCGACTGAAGAAGCCTACTGTGTAGGCGAAACGTTTCGAAATAAAGATACCTAACTGTTGCATATGTGTCTTACCTAACAACCTGTCGGTATTTTATACCATTTTAATGTTCAAGGTCCAGAATGAACAATGCAGTCATTCCTGGCTCTAAAATAACATTTTCTTTGTTCATCAATCACATCTCTAGACCCCTCTGATATTACTCTTGCTTTCTATTTTGAATTTTTATTCAAACAAAAAATAGAAGATTTACTGTTATGCAGACTATTGCAATATTGTAATAATTGTACAAATAATGTCAACCCATTCATGACTGCATAACAGAATGGCTAGTTGGACATTTATTGGACAATAACATCATTTGTTTACTTTTGAACATCAGCAAAAATCAAACATTTCCCCTACTTTGAGCTCCATTTCCTAGTTCTTTTTATAGTAAAACCAATCAAAATCACCTATTTCTATAATATGTTTTCCATTTTATCAAATGAGACCAAGAAAACAAGAATACAACCATAAATACTATACGAAAATAGACCACTAAGTCGGCATTTTAATTAAAAAATGGTCAGTTTTTTTTTTCTCATTATGCACTGCGTGCTCCAGGATTTTTTTTATATGGTGCACACTCACCACACAGACCCATTCTCTCACATGTGGGCCTACCAGTTTTCTCCTGCTTGATTTGAAGCCGCTAGAATTTATGAGTATATATACGTCAAACATGGTACAGGTCCTCCATCACAAATCCGGCATCATTGGGACCTGTAGTGTGCCGGATTACTGAGTTTGCCGGATTACAGAGTGGTTAGGTTAGAATACACTTAATAAAATTAACGAACTTGACTTACACAAAGTTCATTGAACATTGGCAAAAATCGAACATTTCCTCTACTTTGAGCTCAATTTCAAGGTAATTTTCATCATGAAAGCAATCAAAATCATGTCTATTTCTGTAATATATCTTCCATTCTATCAAATGAGTCCAAAAAAATGAGAATACGACAATGAAAACCAAACGAAAATATACTGCAAAGAAGCAGCTAATGGCTGAGAAGTGAACTCCCTTATTTATCGCCAGTCTTTTTTATTTTTGTTGTACGTTAAGAAGCATCTTTCCATCATACATTGCCCAAGAAAAAAAAAAATATTTACCAAAAATCATATATGACAAGCCCAAGCCTGGTACTGGAAATAAGTCACTTTGTCTGACTTTTCTGGGTTATCCTAGGTTCTCTATACATACACTGCTATGTATGACAATCTATGTAACTGTATTTGTGTATACCTGAATAAACTTATTTACTTCTAGTCTGTCAACTGAGTACAAGAAACTGCCCATTCACTTAAATTTAAAAACTACCCAATTAAAGTGGTCAGAAATTGGCAATTTGGCCGATTTCACACAAATTTCAACAATGCCAATTTCAAAATAGGGTCCAGAATAAACAATGCAGACATTCCTAGCACTAAAATAACATTTTCTCTCTTCATTAGTCACGGCTACAGGCCCCTCTTATATTACTCTTGCTTTTCATTTGGAATTTTTATTCACAAAAAAAAAAAAATAGAAGATTTACTGTTATGCAGACTGCTGCATTATTGTAAAAATTGTATAAAAAATGTCAACCCATTCTTGACTACATACTGGAATTTAGACTGGCAGGCGGACAGGTATTGGACGGTGATGTCATTTGTTTACTCTTGAGCTTTGATAAAGAATAGAACATTTTCACTACTGTGAGCGCAATTTCAAGGTACTTTTCGTCATGAAAGCAATCAAAATCATATCTATTTCTGTAATATATCTTTCATTCTGTCAAATGAGACCCAAAAAATGAGAACATAACCATAAAAAGCATACAAAAATATACCGCTAAGCGGCCGCTAATGGCTGAGAAGTGAACTCCGCTATTTATGGTCTGATTTCTTTCATTTTTGGTGTACATTAAGAAGTATCCTTCCATCATACATTGCCTAAGTTTGAATAAGATAACCCCCCAACAAACAACTGAGAAAATAATAATAATAATAATATCTTTATTTACTACATGTACAAGGTATACAGGCCTAGCTGACATCAGTGACATACCACTGTATAGAAACCACTTGTTATGCAGAGTATTTCAAGAAAATTAGATCAGTGCCCCAGGATAACACCCACACTAGTCCATTAACACCCAGGTACCCATTTACTGATGGTAAACGCCTAATGTTTCTACCCTGGCTGGGAATCAAAAATTTACCGAAAATCATATATGGCTAACCCAAGCCAGGTACTAAAAATAAGCCACATTGACTTTTTTGGGTTATCCTAGGTTCTCTACATATATGCTGCTGTGTGTGATAATCTATATAGAGAAAATAACTTTTTTGTTTCAGGTTTATGGTGCAGTACGAGTGTATATCACAGTTAGCCCTGTGCTATGCTCCATTTTCTCTAATATAAGCCCCCAAGACAGGGATAGGAGAATGGTATTTGTATACCATATCCTCTTCATACCTCTGTCGAACTGCTCGGTATTATGCCAAATATTATTTATTCTGGAGTATTTAACATGTTTTATGTTATTTATATTGTTTTTTTGTCTTTATTAGATCAATTGTGATAGGCAAATAAGCTGTAGTGTTGACATTAGCATAATAACAAAGCATATTCTCCTGCTTCATGAGACTGAGTTCATGGCAACCGACAGTGGCTTCAAAGCCACCTTATCTTTAATGGATAATGTACTGTATAGGTGCCTTACATAATGAGAAGCATTTCTTTTATTCATTGGAACCATGGCTAGGGCTAAAAGTAAGCAGGTTAAAACAATAAATGGAGAAAAAGAAATTGGAATGACTTATGCAGCAAGTAGCACCACCAAACAGTACCAGCAGGCTGGTGTAACGACCCTGGAAATTTGAAATTATGCTAGCCAAAATTAGTGCCGAATAACTGAAGGAACCGAATAACTGATTGCCGGATTTGTGATGGCGGACCTGTACCTCGTAAGATGTATATATATACGACCGAAACAGTCAAAGGGTTAAAAACAAAAAATAATAATAATAATAATAATAGTAAGTGGAGGAGAGGCTGTGAGGGGTAAGCACAAAACCTGTAAGGTTATTCAGCACCTGAGAGCATGCAAGGCATTCAAGTTTGATCCAAGGAAAGGAAGGACAGATCAAATTCCTAGGATCAAGAGCCTCCCACCAGCTTCAAGGCACTTTCCTTGAGGGGTACCAGCTCAGAAGAGAGCCACTGCTAATAATTTCCTCTTGTGCAATTAATATCTCTTCTTTGCCATTATTTATCAAAGTTGTACATATGATCTACAGCAATAACAGCAGCTAATATGACCATGGGACAGAAAAAAATCTGAGGCAATGTAAAAAGCAGAGAAAGCACTCCAACTTGCTCGTCATCATCAGCAGCCTGGATTCCAATGTCTGAACACTTCATACTGATGACTGACTTTAGCCACAGCGTAAGTATGGAACTAAGCAATTTCAGTCTCTAACACACAACAGTGCTTCACAGTTTGGCACTTTTTGTATATATAACAATAGCAAAATACTCTACTACACATTTGAATTGTCCATTCAAATTGTATTTGTGATGGTGGAGGCTGATGGGAGGGGTGGATGCCACCCGTCAATCTCTCTGGAATTTCTGCTCGTAATTTCTCGTCCCTTCATTACATATGAAAAAGTCGAAGATATAACAAACGTGTAGTAATAGCTGCTAATGAAGACATGAAAGAGCCACTCTTATTTGTTATGATAATGTGATTGGAGGGAGGGAGACGCGAAGTCTGAACACACTACTGTCACTGACTTCAACCCTACCATAAATCTGACACCTAGAAATGTTAATGTCTACCACACAGTGTTTAGCACTTTGTGAATATAACAACAGTAATGGAATACAGCTTGTTTATGCCATTTTTTCAAAATTCAACCCTGTATAAAGAGTGAAGTACTATATGGTACAGTTCAAAAGGGACGTTGTTATATGCAACCAAAACTATGGAAAAAGAAAATGAAAACATAAAAGGAAAAGTTATTTCTTCTCTCACTCTTCTTATAGTGTATAAACAGAAATCTTCCAAGAAAATTTCTAAGCATTCTTCCTAAGTGTTGTAGTAGTTGTCTTATGT